TAGGACCCTTGGCCGCAGTTACCTCATGTGGCCATGCACGTCGAGAACACCTGCCACAACCACCTGGCACATCCACATCTGGCGTTGACCGTCAGACCCCCTTCTCTCCCCTTCTCTCGCCGTTTACACGCCGGCATATCTGTTTCGGGCAAACGTCCGCACTTGCGAGCGTTAAGCGCTTCGTTTCGCACGACGCAGGTTTCAGAAGCCCCGAAAGTCCGGCAGTACGGTACAGTAATCAGCCTCATCGTGGCTTATTAACTCGCACTGCTTCTTGCCTCTCTACCTCCTACCTCACGCGCAATACCGCATCCGCTTTTCTTGTTCGACCGCGACCGCGACATCACGTCGCTTTACTGCCGCCTGCCATGCGGCTCCTCACCTCCCTCCTTGCGCTCCCCCTCGCGCTGTTGCCTTCGCTTGCTTTCGCGCAGGATCTCGAAGTCCAAGTCACCAGACCAGCGGAATGTACGCGCAAGACTCAGAAGGGCGACAAAGTGTCGATGATGTACAAGGGCACGCTGCAGAGCGATGGCAGCAAGTTTGACTCGAGCTACGACCGTGGCGCACCGTTTACATTCACGATTGGCAAGGGCCAGGTGATCAAGGGCTGGGATCAGGGTCTGCTGGATATGTGTATTGGAGAGGCCAGGAAGTTGGTTATCCCGCCTGGTCTGGCGTATGGGAATCACGCTATGGGTGATAAGATTCCTGCGGGATCAACGCTGGGTATGTTTGCTTTATGCGGAGAGTTTGGGTCTGGCTAATGGTGCGTGCAGTTTTTGAGACCGAGCTTATGGGCATCGACGGCGTGGAAAAGGAACCTGCGAAACCTGTTGAGCCTTCGAAGGCTGCCCCTGCGACACCGACACCGACACCGACTGGTATTACGGATGACAACGTCAATGCCAACGACGAAGAAGCCGCGCCCGAAAACGTACCCAGACCTACATCTACACCCTCGTCTGAAGCTACTCCGGCAGAGACCAAGCCTGAGAAGACAGCAGTACCAGCCGCCGAGCCTAGCAAAGCTGTAGCCGCACAAGGAAACCCGATGGATGGCGAGAGCGACAAGGGCGAGTGCAACCTCCTTGGAAACTTTGCACTGATTGTACAAGGTTTCCTTGGACTACTCGCCGTATCCTCTCTTGCAATCAAGAGGCTGAGGGAGTCTCCGCGAAGGCCCATAAAGATCTGGTTCTTCGATGTCTCCAAGCAGGTCTTTGGCTCGGTTCTGTTGCATCTGGCCAACGTCCTGATGTCCATGCTGTCCTCCGGCAAATTTGACGTAGCAGCAACAACCAGCGCGACAACGAAGTATGCTGGAACCAACGAGGAGGGTGACCAGCCGAACCCGTGCTCGTTCTACCTCCTCAACCTGGCCATCGACGTAAGTTCACTTCCACGAACATCTGCAATCAGTAACTAACGATACCAGACCACAATCGGTATCCCAATCCTCGTGCTCCTCCTCAAAGTCCTCCACGCCGCATTCGCCAAAACCCCGCTAGCCAACCCCCCAGAGTCCATCCGCAGCGGCAACTACGGCCAACCACCCCGTGCAACCTGGTGGCTCAAGCAATCCATAATCTACTTCCTCGGCCTCATCGGCATGAAACTCTGCGTTCTCGCCATCTTCGCCTTCCTCCCCTGGATCGCATGGGTAGGAGACTGGGCACTGCGCTGGACAGAGGGAAATACTGCCCTGCAAATCACTTTCGTCATGTTCATTTTCCCGTTGATTATGAACGCGCTGCAGTACTGGATCATTGATAACTTTATCAAGGACCCTGAGCATGGTAGCGGTGGTGCTAGTGAGGGCAGGTATGGCGTTGTTGGTGAGGATGATAGCGAGGATGAGGATGATGAGGAGTGGTTGGAGCGCCAGAGACGGAGGCGTGAGGCGGGTATTGACGGTGAAGACAGTGATATTGAGGCTGCTGAGGTGGATCCGTTGAAGGAGGCTAATCCTACGATGGTACCGTCAAGGAGTAAGAGTTTAAAGGCTGGAAGCGATTACGATCCCGCTGTTGATGGGGCGAGTGGTAGTTTGAAGACGAGGACGGAGTAGAGTAGTTGTACGTGGTGGTTGGTGTGTTTGCATTATCAATAGCTTAGTTTGTGTACTTGTCTCATAGCGGGCTTGGGGTTTTGGAATAGAGGTGCATCATCTGTGCAGAAAAGCGACATTGGTATTTTGTTCGAACGTGAAGACTATGTCTCCTACAACATCGGCTTGATCTCCGCCGCCTCCTTGAAGTCCGTACCAGTCTTCGACCGCACCTCATCCACAGTAACGCCATCCGCGAGCTCAATAAGCGTCAGTCCCTCTGTAAAGTCGACATCAAACACGCACTATGCAATCATTAGTTTCCAATTCAAATAACCCAAAAGGAGAAGAGGGGGTACTCACCAAATCCGTAATAATCCTGCTCACACAGGCCTTACCCGTAAGCGGGAACTCGCACTGCTTAAGAATCTTGGGCCTCCCCTTCTTATCCGTATGTTCCATCGTGACCACCACCTTCGTCTTCTCCGGATTACTAACAAGATCCATCGCGCCGCCGAATCCCTTGACCTTACCGGGCAACATCCAGTTGGCCAGGTCACCTCTAGCGGACACTTGCATAGCACCGAGGATAGTCAGATCAATCTTGCCCGCACGAATCATACCGAAACTCTCTTCAGAGCCAAAGCACGATGCGCCGGGGAGAAGAGTAACAGTTTCCTTGCCCGCGTTGATAAGGTCAGGGTCTTCGAGGCCCTTTTGCGGGTATGGACCTAGACCCAAAATGCCGTTTTCGGATTGAAGTTGGACTTCTACGGAGGGGTCTACGAAGGACGGGGCGAGCATGGGCATGCCGATGCCTAGGTTGGCGTACATGCCGTTCTTGAATTCCTTGGCTGCGCGGCGCACGATGCGTTCACGTTTCGAGGCTGCGTCGCCGGCGCCGAGGGCGGAGACGGCTTCCTGGGGGTCTTTCGCGTTGACGACCTTTTCGATCTTCTTTTCCGCGGTCGATTGGATTACGCGGTCGATGTAGATGCCGGGGACGTGGACGGCGTTGGGAGGGATCTCGCCGGGCTCGACGATGTGCTCGGCTTCTACGATTGTAGTGGTTGCGTTGCGTGCCATGGCGCCGTTGAAGTTTTGGGCTGAGAAGCGGAATTGCACGTTGCCTAGGCGGTCGGCTTTGTAGGCTTTGATGAAGGCGTAGTCGCCTTTGATGCTTTCTTCCATTACGTAGCTCTTGCCTGCGAAGACTTTGACGTCGCGCGGTGTGGAGTATTGGGCTACGCTGCCGTCGCTGTTGTGCTTGAGGGCTAGTTCGCCGGTTTGCACAACGGTGCCAAAGGCGGCGGGTGTGTAGAAGGCTGGGATGCCGGCGCCGCCTGCTCTACATCGCTCGGCGAGGGTGCCTTGGGGTGTGAGTTCGAGTTCTAGCTCGCCGGTGAGGTACATTTGCTCGAGCACTTTGTTCTCGCCTACGTAGCTGGCGATCATCTTCTTGACTTGCTTGCTTTCGAGTAGTAGGCCGAGGCCTCCTCCAACGATGCCGGCATTGTTGGATACGGCGGTTAGGCCTGTGATGTGTGGTGTGCTCTTTACTTGGTGGATGAGCGTGTCTGGGACGCCTGAAAGTCCGAAGCCTCCGCATAGCAGCGTACTGTCAGAGGCCATGTCTTCGATAGCCGCTGCGGCACTCGGGTAGACCTTGTTGATCTCATTGCGGCGCAGAGACGAGGAGAAGGAGCGCGAGAGGTTGAGGTATGTCTGTTCAAGTCAGCAGCTGTTGGGGAATGGGGCTGCGAAGGCAGGCCGACTTTTGTTGTGCTTCGCGAAAAGGTGCGCGCAGTGCGCAGTGTGAGGGATATTGACGGCATACTGGGCTGGACTTTGCGGAAGTATACAAACTTCCAGACTTCCAAAATAAGCTATACAGCGCTCAACTCACAGACTGTGGAGGTGTAGATAACAAATCACTGTGGGAAGAATTGGCGCGCTCCCGGATATCTGTATACCCAAGCATCGTCGCAGCCTCGGGAAGCTCTAGTATGGGTTGCGTCGGCATCTTGACGCGGGAGGGCGGAACAGCGCCGACGCGGAATGTGGAGGAAAATCGAGGGCCTGGAGTGCGGAGTAGTCAGGTACTGTGTGGTGATTGGGTGGGTTGTGGCTGACTCAGGGAAGGCGCGGACTTGTTTTCCTCGTGGCCAGCTAGCTCCGGAACGTCAGACATAGATGAGCAAGCACGCAAGGTCGTGAGTCTTTCTCCATTCACACATCCATCAAAGTCACTCGTACCTTGACACACATAGTGGAGATAAGCCTCATCCTACCTTCCGTAGATCTCTCCGACGGCTTACGGGCGTTGTATTGACCTTGTTTTACATGAACCCAAGCGCGCTCGCTTGTAGAAAGACAGACAATATGAACATGCGGAGGAAGGGGATTATGATAGAACATGATCCTAGCGACTTGAAGGCTACTCGGACTTGTTTAGTCAAAATTAACTAACGTTCATCGTATGCAGGAGTAGCATTCCGGGTTGTCTGCGTCAAATCTCTCCCCTAACCCTCGCATACCGTTCTTTATCTCACTTCTTTCTTCCCAAACATATTTATAGTTCGAGTCTCATCGTTTATGAAATAGAGATCGTCGCTGTAAGACACCACTGAAGTCTTCTCACGTTACTTCCCCACTCTGTTTAGTCCCAGACGTAAAACAACATTCTTTGTCCGAACACTGGTGGAGAGCGCTGTAGAGCGGTTTGGTCTTAATATCCCTACGAAATCGATAGCTGTTTGGAATTCAATGCTTTCCTGAGTTGTTGGGTAGTGATCAGTTCGCCAAGAAAACCTGGGGGCCTTTGCACAAGTACCTAGGTAACCACAACAACGCCTGGTAGTCCAGGTGACATCTCACCCACACAATCCAAAATCCTGTATTTCGCACAAAGATAACCCAACCAGAGAAGACCCCCATTGTCTGGTACGCCATGGATAAGGTAAGTTACGCCTCTCCGCTATCGAATTTGACTAATTATTGGTAAGGAAGCAAAGCCTGTAGCGGATCCGGTGAAGCTCAAACAAGAGGGCGAGATCTTACTGGCCGACTCTATGAAGTCAGAAAGGGCGGTAGCAGACTACCTGAGCAGTCTGGGTTTGGCTGCGGATGAAAGAGTGGGCGGTAAACACCGTCTCCTTGATCCAAAGGCAGAAGAACTCTATGAAGGCGTCACGAAAGCAGTGATCAACAGTACACTGCCCAAGGACCTTCCCAACCTACGGAAGGCGTACGAGGATCCGGAGTGCTTCAAGGAAGAAGCTCAAAGCTTGATGTCGCGCTACGGCTCTATATGGGGAGACGATGACCGAAGAAGTGCAACAAACGAACTTCGCATTAGCCAGCCGGATGACAAAGCGACGTAAGACAACTCTGTCTTCCAAGAAAGCGAACTGACATGGGTAGTATCGAGATCATGCTAAGATGCTTGATCGGGAAACGCCTCTTTACGTCTCGAAAAGACACGCTTAGGAAAGTTAGGAAGCAGGAGCGCTCTCTCTCGAACGCGCCTTTACCCAAGCCCTTCATCAGGGGCCCCTCCAGTAATAGCGCACCCGAAGATGTCGCTCTGAGCACTGTCACAAATTCTTATGGCGGCGATGACAATCCCAGCGACGACTCGGAATCATACGGATTTATCAAGCAGGAGGGCTCCCCTACTATATCGCCAGATATCAAGATCATCGGCGATGTATCTACTTATAACGGTACTAAGCTTGGACGTACTCTCGAAGAACAAGATGACGCGGAGATTGATGCACTGCCCCTGGAGAAGGGAAGGTTAAAGAAGTCGGACACGGAAGAAGGAAACTCGTCCTTGACTACAATCGCCCCGGACACAGATTGTCCCCCGTATACACGCTGGGATGAGCGATCTGCAACGCAGATAAGCGATACAAACTGCAGCGGTCTTCCTCCCAGCAAGGAGAACGGTCGTCAGGTCGAATCTAGCGACGACACATCGTTAATCGACCGGTTCATGAACATGGCTCTGCAACCACAGCAGGACGCTGCGACGCATGCTCCACCACGTGAGGACCCAACTGGAGATCCTTACGTGAACCCTAAACCAACGGAAGAGTCTTACCACCAACAAGTCGCCTTTGATGAGCTGGTAGAGGTGCTCAAGACGTCGACCCCTCAGGGTTCCAAGACCAGAAAGCTCGAGTTCATCCGATGCAAGCTGTCCACCACCGAAACATTCAAGAGAATGAAAAGAGAATTGGGTACCGCTGATTTCAAGGAATCGTATACATCAATGTTGTTGTGGCACAAGATTCACGCTAAATTGCATGACTTCCAGATGGCTACCAGCTACCACGGAAAGGCAGGTGCGGACTGGCGGGCCCACAAGCAGACTTTGAGAGCGTCCTCTTGGAAAGATGCATCCCTGCCTGCTCTATCTGCGCATCGCGAGCTAGGTCTGTTTGTCCAGGAGTCGGAGGGACGTCGGGAATGGGTGGCATTCAGGCCGGGTGTGTTCGCGACACGTGTAGCTTGCTTCTACGCTACTCTCCTACAGCAACCAAATGTAGGTGCTGCGGATCTTGTCGCTGGATTCCAGGAGTATAATGTTGAGCTGCTCAAGTGGTTCGAGGTTGGAGATTGATTGGCAGGAGATATGGCGGTTAGATTCGGATGCAAGATGGCGGGAAAACATTACAGGGCACGATATGGGATAGATATGAGATGAGAATGGTCTGATGGTTTACCAGCACAGAACCATGACTCTTACATACAGAAAAAGCGTTGATTCATAGCGACGTTGACAATCTTGTCACCGTACGAGTCAAGCAGACGTCTGTCAACGCCAGTCACTTCCCGCATCGCTCCAAGTCATCGTCAAAGACTCATGGCAGGAACACTACACATATTTCAACTCTTTTCTTTCCCTTCATCTTCCTCCACATACACCTTTTCCCTGCAAATTTCTACTACATGCAAAATACAACGCTCTTCTCTATCAACCTGTACCAACAACGCTACGCAGACGATCAGTTCTTCATAGCGCACATCTTCATATCTGCAACTCCCAACCCCAACGATGGTTTTCTACGCCGAGTACTTCATGCTTTTGGGGTTTGCCCTGGTACTAATACCACACGGCCAACAGAGCAGCCCCTTCTCACACGCCGGCGTAGTCAAGAAGAGCGAGGCACCGCTTCTGGGCTTGACATCGGCGGCTGAGGGGAGCATGTCGATGAGTTCGGTCTTGGAGTTCATGTCGTCTATGGGCGTGCCTGTGGCATCTTCTGCGGGCTCTGCACCTCCGGCTATGGCTTCTGGTGCTGGTACCGGCGGTGGCGGCGCTGACGCGACTGCATCGGGTGTGTCACCAGCATCACCTGCGGAGTCAGTCGGCTTGGTGGCGGATGAGGGACCGGAGTACGGTAACGTCATTATCAACAACCACTGCCAGGAAGAGTTTGATCTAAACTCGGTCGCTGCCTATACCCTGGGTGGTGACAGGTCCGAGGAGAAAGGAGGCAACGGAACCTGGGATTTCTACCAAGATCACGTCAAGCATACTATCGCAGTTGGAGGAAGCTACACAGAGCCTTTTCGCGTCACTTGCCCAGCCTATGACGATCAGCGCCGAGCCGACTACTGTGCGGAATACGATAAGCTGCGCGGTCAGAGTCCGGTATTCAAGATGTGGAATCCCAGCAAGCCAGCGGAGATTCTACAGTTTGAGTATGGGCTGGTCCAGAACAAGACTGCTGGTGATACGTATCAGAAGCTCTGGTATGGTAAGTGAACAGCACGCGTCTTAGCTGAGTAACATCTTTACTGACTTCACCCCAAGACGTTTCGCTCCTGGATTGCGCTGATCCTGCCAAGCATCCTGCTTTGTACGGCCATAACAAGTTCAACGATCTCAACATGTCCGTTACGGATATGCAACACAAGATCGACATGTGTCCTGGGTATCAGAACGGGATGAAGGTATCGTTCAAAGCGAAAGACGGCTGTGATGCTAGTGTATGTCGTCCAATCGAGTGTAAAGGCACGGAGTACTGCCCAATATATTACTTCGGAAGGACCTACACGAACGAGCCGAGTATGGTTTGTCATGCGGAGTTCAGAGGAGATATGGTGCTGGATCTCTGTGCGGGTAATGCTGGTAGCGCTGCCAATACTCGCAGAGGTCTTGGAAAAGACGAGGATGTTCAAAGCGCTGGAAGTGTCTAGATCAATGTGGTGTGCGGTCGTTTCATTGATGGTTGTTGAATGAGCGGTGATGTCTTGTCGGTGTGTTTGAGGCTTGCTGGAAATGTAGTACTAGATGTATTTGTCATTCGCTTGGCCTTTTTACCCGCTTACCTTCCGGTGACGCAAAAGTGAATTCGATTAGATCGTATGGTAGCTGGCCCTTTGATTTGGGAGATATTGTCTATGGCGAGTGTTGTCGTTAATGTTCGCGTACTGGTGCAGGAAATGGCGAGACACTTCCACGTGGTCTGTGCTGCAAGGTTAAATCCGATGCTGGTGCGCAGGCAGATGGTATTTGTAAATTCCTAGATGATCCTTCGGATGCCATTAAATATGCGAAACAGCTCATTCTTCAGTAATAATCTTAGTTCTTCTTGAGAGATGTGGTTACAGATCTCGCACGGATTTCCTACGCGCGGCTCAAACGTTCGTGCTCGCGTCATTGGGGTGGCGATCATCACGATCTGATCGGCGATTGCGTACCGTGGTTGTTCCATAGGTAAAGCTCCGCGGACCCTGGATAACGGTTCGCACAAAGATCATCCTCACCTCACCGAAGACGGCTGTGGCGTCTCGATATTGGGATTGTCTGTAGATCTGCGTTGGGTAGTAATGGGCAATGTAAGGTACCCGTTCGAAGACCTCTGGATGGTGATTGGTAGGGGTAGTCGTTCCGAGCGTCGGAACGGAAGCGCGGTAAGTCGCGGATGAAGATAGATTGCGAGTACAGGGCTGCAAGCAGGCATTATCTGATTTCACGATACCTCTGCCGAGGGTGACGCGGGCATGGCGGTGGGTACCTGTCAGCCGTGGTGTTCGCACGTGAGGCAGGTACCCGCCAGCTGACGGGTAGAGATTGTTAAAGTTTGGAGCGCAGCGTGTCTCGCATGGCAGCTGCTCGGCACATTGTTACCACGCACGTTGTCTTGGGATTCCGCCCCGCCGCATTTGACAGGAGCTAGAAGAATGGAAGCGCCAAAGCCGCTGAGGCTTCCTAGTGTACTCTGGTATACTGCAAGATCCAGCCGCATGGTCCGCCCTCCAGCACAATGACACCACAAGTGGCTCCATGGGCTACTTGTAGGCAGGCGCAGATTCGGGCCGAGACGCGACAGGACGGCCAAATTTGCGGGATAGCGTATTCAACACGTTGATCGAGAGAGGGACAGCAGCGTCGCTAGTGAGGCTCTTGAGTAGTGTAGAGAACGGTGGTGCGTCGAGCGTCTCTCAGGCTTCCGGAAGGAAAGCTGCTGGCGCTAGCCGGTTCGGGACGGCATGGGAAACCGTCTTGGAAATGTGCAGGGGTACCCATCCAATGGGGAAACGTGGCATCCCGTTGGCCATCGCTAAAATAGTAGTTGACGCCATGTAGAGCGCCCCAAGAGCGGTCGACGGGGATGGGTGGTGAAGGCAGGATCACGATGTAGAGACAGCGAAGAGGGAGAATGCGGTGCGGTGAGTACGGGCTGTGGAGGTTGGGCGTCGCTGGAGGTTTCCAGATCGGCATAGGCGCGGCTGGAGTATCGAGAAACCCTGATGACGTCGCTGGCCGTGATCTAGCGGCTCGCAGCCAACAGTCAATTTCGTCCAAGCGGGCGGCTGGAATGAGACAGGAGCAAGACGGTCCCTCGCGCCAATACACATCATTTACGCGATCCACGATCCATCCAAACTGCTTTTGTCCAGCGCGTGCAGTGCGCGGCCTCGACGTTTCTGTAAGTGTATGCGGGCGTGTGTTGAAGCCCACGGGCGCGAGGCTATCCTGCTCCTGATCCTGGCATGAGCCCACCACCTGATTCTTACTCACCAAGCACTCCCAGCTTGTCTCTGCGCTCCGGTGGGATTCGGCCTCTGCTGGCAGTCTGACAGTGCGAAACCACTGGTGGCCATTAAGTCGTGTTGTTGACCTGTCCATGTGCTGAGGCCGCTTCACCGTCCATTCTTGCCAGGAGCACACTCCGCGACGTCATAGCTCACCATCCCATCTATGCCCGCCGTTGCCTCGACCCCATCACGACACCACTTGCGCGTTACGTGGGAGACTGGGGAATGCAATAATGACAAAGGCCCCGTCACCCTCTCCTAATCCCAAGAGAGAGACTGCGCCGCCACCCACGACGCGCCCGCCACTGCAGAGACTGGCCGCCAGCGACGCGAAGACATATCAGTCGCAAACCTCGCAGCCCTCGCCCGGAACCCGGAACCCGAGCAGACCCCGCGACGATGCCGCCACCGACAGCGAACTGAGCGAGGCAGAGAGCCAGCCGGGCGACGAGGACGAAGGCGCTGGTGCCGACGAGCTGGCCGCGGAAGAAGCGCCACTGAGCGAGGCCTCGCCCGACGAGATGGAGGTGGAGCGGCTGCGCGGCCTGCAGCTGAAGATGCTGCAGCAACAGCAGCGGGCGCGCATGCGGAGCTCGTCCAACAATTCCGCTGTCGCGCTGGGCTCTCGCCGCATATCGCCCATCAAGGAGGAACCCATGCCCGGCATCTCGCCCACCCTCGAGGGCGCCTTTATCAGTCCAACCCCGAGCCCGAACCCGCCGCTCCCTACGGGCCTCACCACGTCGACCGAATCGACCGAGTCTGCGAGGACCATTCGCGGCAGCATGCCACCGACGCCCGCCGCCACCCATGCCGTTCGAACGCCATCCTACCCCTTCCCTTCAGTCCCAAACACGCCACGATGGGCCTCGGCATTCCACATGCCCTTCACCAGCCTGTCGCCCACGGTAGCAGCGGGGCAGTCGCGAGAGTACGCGACCCCGCAAGAGCGCATCGCCTCCGAGAGCAGCACCCCCGCCGCATCAAGCACGCCCTTCGCCCCCGGAGGAAGAAACTACCAGAGCCCGGATGCAGAAGACCCGCGATTCCCGAGTCCCAATCTTTACGACATCGTACTGCGTCTGGGCGCCGAGCCCGGCCTTGCTGCTTGGTGGACGGCGGTAACGTCCATCATGCGCGACCACTATGGAGCGGAAAGAGCCACCTTGGCAGTACCAGCGGATGCGTCTGATATCGAGAACGTGCCGTGGGGCCAGAAGACTAGTTTTACTGCCATGGGCAACGAGGGAAGCCCGCATGCAGCCACCTACCAGGAAGCAGCAAGCCATTTCCAGTCGGAAGAGAACCCAAGCTCACGCGACTATGAACATGCCGACATGCCTCCTTCCACCACGATCCCGGAACGCAGACCAAAGCTATTCTCGCATCACTCCTTCGCGGGCCACGAACGCCAGAAGTCCAGCGCCGGTCCAGATACGCCCACACCGGCGTCGCTCAACCGGCCAAGAGGTCCAATGAGGTCTGCCAGCCACGCACCCCATATGGCTGCCAGGCCAGAGCATCCGCTAAGGCAGGTCTCACAGGCTTCCTTTGATGGCGCCTCTCCCGCAT